CCACATGACTGGCTGTAGTTCAAGTCCTGGACCTGGCAGATTGCTTTCTCACTCTCTCTTTCTTCCTCTCTCTTGTCAAATTAAAATAAGTAAATGAAGTTAAAATTTAAAATTTTTTTTGAAGTTTTAAAATCTATGTAATATGTGTGTATTCTTATTTATTTTAAAAAATAAATAAGACCTTAAAAGGTCAGTGTCTCATTATGTCACAATCTTCCTGCCTCAGCCCCTAGCTAGAGTTACAGGGATGCACAATCCTGCCTGGATCTGTCTTAGACAGGATCTCATCATGTTACCCGAATCAAACTCAAGCTCACAATTTTCCTGCTTCAGCTTTCCTTGCCACTGGAATTACAGGCATTCACCACCATGTATGCCTCTAGGTTGGACCAGGAATCCAACTGGCCTCTCGTGTGGCCCCAGCCTACAGATCACAGCATCTTAGCAGCATGCCACTGTGGCTGGACCAGTTTATTTATTTTTTACCATGACAATTTATTTATTGAAATTATATCCCAGAATTTGGGGGAGACAAAAAAAATTCTCTTCCCTAGAATAAAAAGACATGGATTCAATAAGATATCTAAAAAGAAAGTGAATGGTTTTTTCTTCATTTTTTCAGATATTTAGTAAAATTGTGAACAATTTAAGAATAATGTACCAATTCAGTTTCTGATGATTATGGTTGAGTAAAGCAAGATCAGAGTGAAAACCGTGGCAGTCTTATTAGTGATGCACAAAACCAAAATTAGATTTACTTTTTCCTGCCGATTTTATTAGTGTTCATGCTGAAATTCTGGCATTCTGCTTCAGATATTTCTTCTAGCTATTACGTTCAATGTTCACCTTAGTAAATTTTCTTTTAATGAGTAAAAATGACAGTGCAGAAATATTTATATATTTCTACATGTACACTAAATTCATATGGAAGATCATTTGGAAAATGTACTCTAAGTAAAATGATAGAATACTTTATTTTTTTAATATGAAAACAAAGTTAATAGGACATTTTTTAGTTTTATGCTATAGGGCACATACACTTTCTGGAGAGAGAGGAGAGAGAAAGAGAGAAAAAGGGAGAGAGAGAGGGGAAGTGAGGAATCACTCCCTAGGGAGGATGGCCCACACCATAATACCCTCTTAAATCTCAGACCTTCTAATCAAAGGCTGAATACCTAACTTTTTAATGAAGTAATCAAAACATAGTGTAGAACTTTCTGCTTCCTAGGCTGAATTTTAGTTATTTACACATTTGGTTTACTCCTCGTTCTGCCTTTCTTTGCTTGGTCTCTTAGGTACCAAGCTTGCAAACTGCAGCCCTAGAAAGTGCGATTCCTTCTCACACGTCTTTCAGACAACGTATAGTTCCTGCATAATTAGAAAGACATTGATTCCAATGTCAAAGGAATCCAGAAAACTAATCATTTATATTTACGCCTAGCTATGCTTACTGCTGGAAAATGTGCAGTGATAAAAAAGAGGTAAAATGACATCCTTTGATCAGTTTTTCAAAAAGCTACCAGCTGGCTCTAAATCTCATCTAAGGTTTTTACCAAAAGCTTTTCAAAGAGGTTATTTTGAATTCCAGAAATGGTGCTTTCTTATTCTGTGAAGTTGAAGACATGATATGTATTACAGCAATAAACAGAGTCAACAGTACTATTGTGTTAGTAGCGAGTTTGTTTGTTTTTCCCATTTTTGTATTTCACATATTTACTCATTTGCCCTTCTAATGCTAGGATTTGTAACTGGAAAGAGACACAGGACCTTTGATAGAAAAACCTGCAATAGAAACTAATATGCGTCTCTGAAGCCAGTTTTGAAAGTTATGGTTGCTGTGGAAATCATTGTAATTTTCTCTCAATAATGAACTGAAATATTGCTTGGAAGCCAAAGAAGCAGCATTTTCCTTCTGCCTTGGGCTGAGGCTGAAAGGAGAGACAGCAGGATTTTAGAAAAAGCCACTGAACTGGTATGCCCTTCCAACAATTTTAGGCAGGCATTTATTTGGTAGATAGAATTAAATTTGACCCAAAACTGCCTGGGACACCTAGAGCTTTGAAACTGCACAAAGAAAGGCTTATTCTATTGACATAAATTGCGTTTTAGATAAAGTCCTGACAGAAATATCATCCATTAATCTGTTAAACACAATTTTGCTCTGTAGGACTATTTTTTTCTTTAGTTTTTATGTTAATTAATAAGTCTCCCCTCTTTTTTTTGAGATGGAGACAAAAGCAAATATGCTAATTTATCTCCTCAGAAACTAGAATAATGACATCTTTTTAAAAATGATTATAAGTTTCTCAGCAGAGAATCTCTGGTAACTTTGAGAAAAACAGAAGAAAATAAGCAGATTTCTGAATACCAAAGTTGCAAACTTAAGTTTCACAAATGTCAACAGTATTTCAAAAATGTTTACACATTGCTAGGCTGTATGAGGCTGACTCATTTCCTATGAGATAATCGGTAATGTTTGTTGGGTTATCTTGGAATCTAGAATTACGTTTACTCAACAGTCAGGAAAGAATAGAGCCCAATTAACACTGGCCATAGGAAAACACCGTATTTTAATTACAACGGTCATAAAACTTGTGCCCATTAAAGACACATTCTCAATGTCATAGTCCTAGAGACTTTGGGTGTGCAATTGACAGGGTGTCTGGGTGTAACACTAATTTGACACACGCCAGAAATAGGGCTTTACTCAGAGCACATGGCACAAAAGATGCACTGAGGTCAAAGGAAAAGAGGAGATGCTCTCTCTGTGTTTTGTTTTGTTTTGTTTTGTTCTTTTTTGTTTTCAAAAAAAAGAAAAAGTATTTTTGACATACTGCACCAGTCTGCTTTACTGGATTACATGCTGTATCTTGTTATTATGTGTAACGTGATAAAATATTACACTGGGTCAACTGATGAAAATAATTCTGCCCCTTAAGAACAAGTGGACATACTTTTGTCATGAGTAACAGAAGCTCCGTTTCCATAGAATGTTCCCTGGCATCAAATACTTCATGGGCTTCCATTATTACTTTATCAGATGACATTGGATGTTTCTAATAGACGTGCATGATGTGGGAAGTTCAGAACTGCAATAATTTTTTAAATGCTACAACTGTATTTATTATGTAGGTAATAAATACATACATTGTATTTTATTGATGCTTCAACAAATGATTACACTTAAACAAGGTTTGCCTTCAATGTTTATAATACTGTAGTAATAGCAGTGAGAGAGTAGAATACTTTGATAATCATCTAATTTAAGAAAAGCCTTAGTGTTTTACATAAAATGTGTTAATGTATATGATAGTACACCACTGGTAAAAATCATTGAAACTTCACTCCAAAATGTATTCATTAATAAAATAATAAATATTTAGACAGAATGTATTCTCTTGATTTAGACAGGTTGTATTATTACTATTTTAATGTCTGAAAATGTAATATTTTTTCTTCATATACTTGAATTTTGTTTAAAGAATTTGAAGAAATTATATCTAATTGCTTTCTAGGAAGTGCTTAAAAATGTTTACAAATTAGTTATAAATGTCTGATAGAAATAAAGCAGGTCAATAGAATTGTGAGTTTATCTTGTGCTTTTTAAACATGAAAATTTAGGAGCCAAAGTAAATTTCTATAGAGCAACTAAATTCCTAAGGCTCCACTGGGTACTTGCACACCCTCTCAGAGTATCTCATTCTAGCTGGTGTGCTGTTTACAAAGCAGACTTGTCAAAGAGATGACCCGTGAATTCCATAATGGGAACGGATAGGCATCTGCTGAAAACCTTTTAATCTAAGACAGGAACCGGATGAATAGAAAAAACTAAAAATTCTTCCAAATAATTGTTTTATATAAAATGACATGGAAATGTCTTCAAAATTCATCTACAGGCAATTAGCAGATACGGGTAAAAAAGTAAACATGCTTTTTATACATTATATATAATATATATACACACATTATATATACATATTTATTATATATAATGTATATATAAAATGTGTTTATATATAATGTGTATGTGTGTATATATATAATGTGCATGTATGTGTAATATGTATAAAATGAGAGGTTTGTCGTAACAGTGGCTGGCCCCTAGGAAGAACTCTTATGCCCAGAGGTTTGAAAGAAAGAATGAAATAAGGGATACTAAAGAGCATGTGGGAAAACAAACTGTGGTGTTAGTGAGACCTGACTTGAAATCTCAGGTAATGCTAATTGAGTGACTTGAGCCTGTTACTAAACCCGTCTTTACTTATTTTAAAAATCTAGGTGAGTCAGTCTGGTGGTACAGTAGTAACCCACTGCTCAGATGATGCCAGATCCAGGTTAAAGCTCAAGGGTTCAGTTCCCCTGTCAACCTTAAACACCTCCAATGTGTGACCATGATCCTGACTGGGAAAGTTGAAGGAGGATCATGGTGTGAGACCCTATGGAGGGTCCATCTCTTTCTTACTCTTCATTCTTTTTTTTTTTTTGAAAGGTTTTTGCTATAGGGCTAGAGACAGAGAGATAGAAAGAGAGAAATCACCCCCTAGGGGGGATGGCCACACCGCAATCCCTTCACCTCCATTCTCCTCTCAGGATCTTGGGCATGCACACACAAGCGCCCTGTGTGAGTTTAAGCCACTGGGTCCGGGACTCAAACTGTGGTCAGCTACTTGGGAGTCCAGTGACATAGCCATTACGTTAACTGCTGGTCCCATCTTTCCCTTCATTTTTAAGAAAGAAACAAACTTAAAAAAAAAAAAGAAAAGTAATAACACTGGCGCTGTGGGGTAAGGGGTAAATGAGAGCCCCATACATGATAGCTATTCAGTACTGGACTACCTTTTCCCACAACTCTGGAGTTAGTTGTCAAGAATCACAAAGGAAAAAAGAAAGCAGAAGAAGGAGAAGGAGGTGGAGGAAAAGAACAAAATAAGAAAAAAAAAAAAAAAAGCCTTGGTCCATTTGTTGTGGCTAATACAATTTATTCTGTGTACCTCTTTTAGGGTGAAAATGGTTTACGTGGTGTTCCAGGCTTACCTGGTCAAAAGGTAAAAAGCTTTCAAATGTTTCATATGGGTTAAAAATTGAAAATTAAACTTGCACATAATGAATATTCAGAAATATATTCTATAAAACTGACTTCCTTCGAAGACTCTCAGAAAGCTACCGACTGATCATTCCAAGGAGGATCCCTGGAGTAGTCCTCTCTCGAAGGGATCACTGTGAGAGAAAGCTTTATCAGGAAGCTTTAGCAATGTGCTGCTTCCAGGAAGTCAGCCTCAGTGCTTTCTGGGGCCATAGGAGTATATAAAGCTGCCCTGGAAGTATCCTCACTGTTATTAGTCAGAGTATAAAATGTAGAACAGAACAATTGTTTCCACTTTTACTATATTTGGGTACTTATTTCTTATCTTCTCTTTTGAATATCCCAGATTGAGCTAAACATAATTGTTACAATAACATAAAATATTAAATATTACAGATTACAAATATGTTACAGATAACTAACCCCTTCAAAAATCTCTTTGAGAAGGAAAAATTCTTTTTTTTATTTTTATAGGTTTTTTTGCTATCGGGCAGGTGTGCTCGCCAGAAAGACAAAGAGAGACAGAGACAGAAAGTGAGAAATCACCCCCCCCCGAGGGGGGGGGGGGGGGCCCCGCCGCAGTCCCTTTTCCTCCATTCTCCTCTTGGGTTCTTGGGCACGCATGCACACGGCCCCTGCGTAGGCTTAAGCCGCCAGGTCTGGGATTTGAACAGCAGTCAACTACATGGGAGTCCAGCGACATAGCCATTACACCAACTGCTGGTCCCGAGAAGGGAAAATTCTTAATAAATCATACAAAACAAGGAGTTCTGCATGGGCCGGTTTGCTTCTTTCTATACCTGTTATCTTTCTCTGTACCAAGGTGAACTCTGCACTGCTTTACCATCTAGGAGCTGCTTTCTCCTTCTGGGAAGGGGAATGATTATATGTGACCAGCATTACTGGAAACACAGAGCCTCCTCTTTTCCAGTTTCCTGAAGGGATGGGAGCCACTTCAGGTGGGGCCAGCTGTCATGATACTCGCCAGATAATCCCCCACAGGGGAGAGGATTACCGCTGCCATATTAAATACCTACCAAAGCCCAGCGTATCATTTCCTAGAGAAGTGTTACAGGATTTAGCACGATGTCAGAAGTTTCTATGCATCTAGATTTTTCTCTGTAGCTTGAAGTGTCATTTTAGAACATGTGCACTTATTTATAGTTACAACTTTTTGGGAAAAAAATGTTCTTTTCTTGGCCTGAAAAAGATAATAAGATTGAAACTGGCAGCGATGGAACGGCAAGCTTCTGAATTTCTTCACAGCAGTTCTAGACAAAACCCATTGATACAGCATGTGCTGCATCTGCGAGTCGAGTTGCAAAGCCAAGGGATGTGCAGATTTATCGGCTGGGAAATAGTTGAGGACTTTCCAGCAGCTGTTTTGTGGTGGCCGCATCACGCTGACATTGTGGCTGGGGACTGGAGGCGTTTAGCAACTTCGATGTCAGCTTGTACGAACAGATCGAGTTAAATCTACATTTTAGGAAAAATGGTTGGAAAAAATAGGCCATATATTCAGTAGTTAAAATAAATAAATAAATAAATAAATCTAACATTTTTTTCTTTTCTGGTAACTATTTTGAGAGTACATAGAGCAGGGATAATTATTCAGTCATATGTGTGTGTATCGTATACGTGTATTTCAGCATGGTTATATATAGATATCAAGGTGTACACTTTGATATGTGTGTGTGTGTATATATATTTCTTATATATATATATATTTCTTATATTTTATATATATCTACACACACACTCACACACATATATAGGATTGTTGGAAAAGTCATGGAGCATTTTCCATTTAAAAATAGTCATGACTTTTACTGACCCTATATGTATACATGTATCCACATACACACAATGTCTCTCTCTGTCTCTCTCGCATGCACCCTATAGCAAAAACCTCTCCCAAAAAAAAGATAAGAGTTTTATTTGATTCATAGTTATGGTGACTGGAAAGTCCAAGAGCATGGGGTTGGCATCTTGCTGGCATCTGGCCAGCTTCTGGTGTATTATAAGAGGGCAGAGAAAAACAGAAAGTCAGCAAAGGCTTTCAAAAAGAGAGGAACCTGTAGGCAGTTCCAAAACTGATAACAACCTACTTTCATGAGTACTCACCCCTTCCAGCAAGAATATGAACTCACTCCATCTGACAAGACAGCACTAATCAATACATGAGGTAGGTGCCCCCATCATCCAAACACCACCCATCAGGCTTACCTCTTAAAAGTCTTGGGACCAGCAGTTAGCGTAATGGCTATATCGCTGAACTCCCATGTAGCTGACCACGGTTCAAGTTCTGGACCTGGTGGCTTAAACTCACACCAGGCGCGTGTGCATGTGTGCCCAAGATCCCAAGAGGAGAATGGAGGAAAAGGGATAGCAGGATGGCCATCTCCCCTGGGGGGGTGATTTCTTGCTTTCTATCTCTCTGTCTCTCTCTGTCTCTCTGGTGAGCGCATGCGCTCTATAGCAAAAACCTCTCCAAAAATAAAGGTCTCACTGCCTCCTGATGCCAGTACATTAGGGATTAAATCCAATGCATGAACTTTAACAGACATACCATTATCCAACTCATATTCCAGTGGTATAAATATTGTTCCTATTCACATTTATTCCTCTTCTACAGGGAGAGCAAGGTTCTCAAGGGAGCAAAGGAGAAACCGGTGACAAGGTAAATATCTCTCTTTACATATGCATCAATACAAATAAATTGTTTTTAAAAATATTTTGAAATTGAATTTCTAACGTGTTGGATGTGTTCTCTATAAGCAATTTAATAATTTTATAAAAGTAACTAAAGTATTTGCTTCAATAAGGGTAGAATTAACGTGTTGATGATTGTCATAAATCTTTCTAAACTTATTTGGTTGGTAGTTAGACATTTCTAGTTAAATTCATTCCATTTATAACTAAGGGGGTCATACGCTTATTAAGCATCATGTTTCTAAGTTATGACATGATTTGCTCCTCTAATTGGCGAAGTCTTTAAATACATGCTTTGCTTTTATGTATATCTGATTTATCAGTGGAGTTTTTCCACAAGGTATATATAAGAAATAAATTTAATAGGGTCTCACAAAAAAAGAGATGGCACACTAAAATTAGAATAATTTCAAAGAGTTTTAAAAAGGGATGCTTTAAAATGTATAGCAAGGTATAAGAAAACCATACATGGGACCAGCAGATGGCAAACGTCACTGGACTCCCACATAGACCCAGCAGCTTAAGTCTTGCTGGGTACATGTGCATGTATGCCCAAGATCCCTGGTGGAGAAAGGAGGAGAAGGGATTGTGGCATGGCCATTCCTCCTGGGAGAGTGATTTCTCACTTTCTGTCTCTGTGACAAGAGGACTGGCCCTATAGCATAAATCTTTCTGAAAAAGAAAGAAAGAAAGAAAGAAAGAAAGAAAGAAAGAAAGAAAGAAAGAAAGAAAGAAAGAAAGAAAGAAAAGAAAGAGAGAGAGAGAGA